TTGGTTGCGAATTTAGCTGATTACTTGATTCGCTTGATCGTCCACAAATACGAAAATATGGTCGATGGCAACTGCTCGAGAATACTGATGGATAGTATTGTCTATAAACTATATATGTAATAGACAGACCAATCAAACTGCCGACAAACACATCTTCCCAGTGGTGATGATAATCGCATGTACGACTAACTGCAATTAGTGCCGCCAGAATTATTGGCAGAAGCGTAACACATAGACGCCACGATTGGCCACGCCCGCGTGCGTTTAGCGCATGCAGTTTGGCACCCACATAAATGGCGATGAAACCAAAACCAACAAAGGAAACTAAAATACAAATTATTTTAATTATTAGAAATTCATAATGCAATTTGAGATAGTAAACTCTTCATTTTATACATACATGAAGCATGTCCACTGGGAAAACTTTTGCGTCCCTCACTTATTTGTCTTATATCACCGGTACAATTGTACCAGTCCATTGAACCATCTGCATTAGTGCCGTTGTTTAAGACTTCGATGCCATCAGGAAAGCATCGATAAAAGAAATCCGGTCTGTGACGGCCTACAGTTATTTTTAGTAGACTCGTTACGAGGCCATTCAACCCAAGCGCTAATGTCCACACCCAGCTGGCTGCACGAAAATCACGCCGATCGCCCGTCAACCACAAATGCGCTATTGTTACAGAAAGTGGAACAAAAATTGCTGATAACAAAAGTGCCTGCACTGAAACGATATCAGGAGATCGCGGATTTTTATACAGCCACATCTCTTCCGGGTGCACTTTACGCTTGAAGGGTTTGGTATTCTCCAGAGATCTGAAAAAAATTCAAATAGTGGCTAAAATCAATCGCATGAAAAATAGTTAAGTATTTATGTATATATATTTGCTTTATAATAATATGGGAAGGTAAACAGCCATAGTAGCTAAGAGGTCTTCGGCTGTCTATAGATATACATATATCGTCGGTGATACTGCAAAACGGTCTATGTCAATTTGTACCTTTAATACTTAAATGGTCTCTTACTTGCACCGGAATGCATCTGCAAATCGTTACACCCTAAGAAACGAATGACAAAACTGTATACCTTTGGCTGATGAAGATGAACGATTGCCAGAAGCGATCAGATACAGATAACAGATCAATTAATCATCAGAGGTAAAAAGTGACATAGAACGTTTTGCAGTATCACCGACGATATACTATCAAATATATGTATATAAATATATGTACGTGATTATGGATGACAACTCAACCTCAGTTGGGTTGCAGATGGGCAACGCGACTGAAATGAAAATTTATATTATGAATAACAACTGTAGTTAAGTTCTATAAAGTTGAAGGTAATACAATTTTGAAAAACCAGTAACTAAGACTTGAGTGTAAATAATTTGAAGAGAGTTGAGAAAAGAAATAAATTATCTCAATCAAAATTTCTGCGGCAACCAAAAAAATGCACAAAAATTGCCAATATAGCAACTCAGTTGCCAGCTTTCAGTTGCCAGTTGCCATCTGTAATACCATTTCAGCCACTGGCCACCCAACTGAAGTTCGGTTGCATTCCGTAATCGACTGGTAAGTCATATGTACATACGTACTTACATAAAAATGAATACTAGCATTACTCGAATCCCGACATCGATTGCGTCACTAATGCGGTTTTTTCTGCTGCCACCGACAAAACAACAACAGCCACCTATATCTTCGTCATCATCATCATATCTGCAGAAGCGGAAACAACAACCGGTTTTCCTCTTCTGCCTGTCGTTATTCAATAATTCCTTGTGCATATTTTGATTCCAACTAGAGCGTTTGAATGACTCGGTACTTCTGTATAATTCATCCGCAGAACTTTCACTGAATCGGCGATTCATTGAAGCACCTCGATTTGAGTACGTTAATACAGTGTAGGCTTTATTTGCCGGTTTTGCAGCTGCCATAGTGGTTGGTGACATTATCAGATATGTGCTGGAGTATTTATAAGAGGTTTCATGGTCAGAGGTGTACTGTAAATGGTAGTTAACGATATTTAAATAATTTGTTATCTAGCGAAAGTGAGCATAAGATAAAGGAGAAAACGTGACATTGAATGTGGCAGTAATGAGATATTGAATTTTATAAGAACTAAATGAAAATATCATGCTTACTAAAGCAGTTTAGTTATACCGTTTATATACATACATAAGTATATACTTCCAGTGGATCAACGCAACATAATACTACATATAATTGTCTGTTTGACTAAATATTTGTCTTAATTAATCACACATTTCACTACCACTTATAATGATTCGGCTAACACCGCCCTTAAATGCAGAAACATTTCTCTTATGTGGAAAAAACGCCGAATGTTCCATTAGGTTGCATTTATACCTTAAGTTAACATGTAGGTATAAATACTTTGTCGCTTACTTTAGTTAATTGTGTCGTGTTTGGCATATGGCCATTTGTTTTATGGGCCACACATGTAGTTTGCTTTAAGATGCCTTGAGCACGTTTGCGTAGTTCTGTTTCCACAAAGTTCAAGCCCGTTTTTTTGTCCATTTTACTTAAAGGGTTTATCGGATCACAAGCATGAGCTCTTCCGAAGTTATTTAATTATTCACTGCTATACATACGTATGCATGTATGAATATTTAAAAGATCTTGCTGTTGCGAATCTACATTTACCTACATTAAGTTTCTCACTATTAACTACAATTTCGATTCTATTTGTTTCTTATCACGATTCGTTAATATTACTCACTATAAGCTTTCTCTTTTAAGTTATCCGTAATTTGTCATTGTACGCTTTTCTAACAATCCTCATCACTCCGGCACAAATCAATAGATCTCCAAACTATTAAGTTGAAACTAATGGAGAATTGATGAGAATTCTATAAAAAGTTAAATAAATAAATTTGAGCAAATAAATTGTGAACTTTGTAATGCTTACTTGCCTTTCAAACATATCTACACTTGCATATAACGTCGGTTATTGTAAAAGTAGCATAACTTTATTTAATCTGTTCTAAATTGATTCAATAATAGGTTTGTTCCACACGAGCTCGCGGGTGACCAAAACACAGTGTTGCCAACTTTAAAGTTTCAAAAAGCACCAAACCTTGGAAAAAAGAGCGTTTTACCGCACTAAAAGCACAATTTTTTTTTTTATCAAAGGATACTCTTTTTCATAACAGTTTGTGGTAAACAGAAGTAAAAAAAATAAACAATATTTACATGTATAAATAAATACACATTCATGCTTGCGAAACTGGTACATTTGGAGAAGGAACAATCGAATCGCAACAAACGAAATTGAATTTTAAAGGGGAAGAGTAATACTTAATGATACCCTAAGTAGAAGTGAGCGAAAAAATCTTTTGTTTCATAATATAACCTCAAATATTGCGAAAAACCGTGTTTTATGGTTTGCATTTTAGTGCATTTAAATTTGTAAATTCAGAAATTTTAGTTCAGAAAAAAGCACTAAAAAGGGCTCTAGGCACTAAACCATTATATTTGGCGTTTTAATTTTCAAAAAGCACTACATCTAGTGCTTAAAGCACTAAGTTGGCAACTATGCCAAAACAACACAGAAAGCGTTCCTCACACTAGAAAAATGGGTACCAGAGAGCGAATACGTTCCACTTTTGGATTGTAAATGTCGTGTACTTTGTGCACGAAACAGCCCGGACTTTCAATTAATCGCTTTCAATGAAGTTGGTCGGCTGCCTACTTTCTTTCAACTTTTGGTTCAACTAATCGCCTGTGAAAGTTGAATCATGTAAATTCCCTATAACCTTGTATTATTGAATCATGGGCACCATGTTGCTTCTTTACAAATTTACTTGAAAAAGTGTAGCTTTGCTGTGAAATAGAAGTATAAGCTTTTGTGCAATATGTTTATTTTTAAATGCATATGAAGCACATTTAACTGATGAAAACAAAAAAATATTTTTAAATTCGATGTTTACATAAAACTCATAACTTTATTTTAATTTTTAGCACTTTTGCAGTCTTTAAATCGCTGAATAGCACACAAATTACGAAATTCACGTAGATTAATTTCTTTCAACATTTCGTTTAAAATGCCAAATTTCTGGCAAATACATTAAAAGTTACAAAAAGGGTACTAAGTGCCTACTTTGCGTACTTTTTTACTATCATTTTCGCACCAAGGGATTTCATTCTTCCCCTTTCTGTCCTTCGTAAATGCAACCTGTTGTAACCGTCGTGCAAGAAACATTGCTTTTTATTAATTTGAATCGGCATTTTAATAAAAGTTGTGATCCCGTCGCGATTGAGAGAAATAGATGTTGCGCCCATCACGGTACCGCTATTCCTCTCTCAGTGAATTTGACAGAATCGTTGTTTGTATGACGTCACCTTTGTGCAACTTGTTTACGTATTCCTTGCAACATTTTTTCTTCTTCCATTCTTGCTCACGTTTTGGCATTTCCCTCTCGCAACTGCACCAGTGTGACGTCACACAAAAGTTATTTTCAAAAATCCTCTCTGATGGGCGCAATCTTGTATTTTATCATTCTTGCCATCCCGTACCAGTCCGGACTAGTCAGAATCAGTCAGTTTTCACTGGATGTGAGAAATAAACAAGTAATTTTTAGCGAAGAAAACCGGCTTAAAAAAATTTTTTTCATGATCCAATGATCGGATCTAAACCAAATTAGTATGGGACCTCTGAGACACCACCTTTCCGTTGCAAAAAGCATTATCGAAATCGGTTGACGTGGTCCAAAGTTATGTGGTACATACCTACATAAAAACAAATATTGCGAAGTCGGTTAAAAAGGGATTTGAAAATAAATTCGTGTCAATACACTTTTGAATTTCTGAGCGTATTAAAAGTTGGTTTATGCTTCCGTTTTGAACCAAAGCGAACTGTAAATAAAAAATGTTGGGCACCCTTCTTCGTCCGCGATAACTTTCTTACGATTTTTTTTAATCGAAGCAACAACACTGGATGCAGTCATATGATTTATAGACCCATATACACATATTTGTGTACATACATGCATACATACGTATATATGGCAGTTTGTCCTCCTGGAAAAACTAGACGTCGAAATTTATAAAATAGATTTTGCTGGAAAATATGTCGGCGTCGAAAGAGGAAATCGGAAATCTACTTGATTCCCTTTACATAGAAATGCTGAACTTGATTGAAGAACACACAGCATGCCGGGTGAACATTGAACGCTTAATGAATAGTGGCCAGTTAATGTTGGCTAAAACACGTTACCTCCAAGGATCGCAAACCATCAGTTCATCACAAATCCCAACGGAAAACAGTAATGAATTTAATGCACTTTGTCAAATAGAAGAACAACGAAATGACTCGAAGTTGTCGAGCGTCGAATACATGCTAAGGTATACGATAAATCAATAGAAATTCACCAGCAAAATGTGTCAAAAGCTTGGGGAAATTTTCGATATAGTACACTCTTGAATCGAAAAAACGGGGTATTGGAGGTTTTATAAGGCTGTATCCACATTCTAAAAGTGAAGATCCCAGACCGCGGAGGCTTCTATTTTAAAAGTTATTAACTGTTAAAGTTGCAAAATAGACCGAAATCACTTGAACTATTTCACCCACTCTATTAAAACAGTATTTCTGCGTGGAGCTCCTTTTTGCGCAGGCCGCCGCTCTTAGGGATTATAACTCTCACTAAGTAGAATCCTCCTTTCTGTGCTGCCGAAGAAAAGCGACACAGGTATTTTTGAGCAGAATTTCTTTCTGTTTAGGCACTATTAGTAGGTGATTTGTCAAAGTGGTATATTTAGTAAAATGAACGCTCCCCAGCAATCCCTTAAAACTTAGTATCTTTTTAGGAAAATCAAATGGTGCATTATAGCGAAGTCAACCCAAAAGCTTTATGAATTTCTGTTAGGCAACTGTTAAAGTTTTAAATGTATCGTATCCATTAATCATTTTAGAAAATATGCCGTAAATAAAGATGAAGGATTCACCGATCCAATGCATTGGTTTACAGTATTGCCGCCAAGCAGCTTACGAACTGCATCTGAACACTTCAAAAAATGTTTAGATCTAGTTTTAGAAAGTGCTAATATACAACGGGAGCTACTTGCTGTAATGGAAAGCATCGAAAGTCTCAAACATCTTCAATAAATTGTAAACATGTAAATAAAACTTTTTGATTATAAATTAATATTTGACTATAAAAATGTTATACACTTGTTAACGCGCTTCATGGCGGCATGATTACATTAACAAATGGTAGAGCTCGTGTCTCCTTCGTTCACAACCATAAATTTTATCTGCACATCTACGCCAATACCAGCCTCAATTACGTCACCAGCCTTTACTGGCAACGCACCATCTGGTGTGCCTGTTAATAATAAATCGTTGGGCTCCAGAGTCATATATTTTGAAGCATGGGCGATAAGATCATCAACTTTAAAAATCAGGTCTTGAGTGTTGCCTTGCTGGCGCAGCTCTCCATTCACTTTTAACCATAGGGGCAAACTGTGGGGATCTTTAATCTCATCGCAGCTTATAAAACGAGACACTGGGGTTGAAGTGTCGAAGCCTTTACCTAAACTCCATGGGTGACCATTTTTGCGTGCTGTCCCCAAATTACATTGGGCAGTCATGTCAAGCGCTAGACAATAACCACCAACATAATTAAGTGCTTGTTCTTTTTTTACGTTTTTACATCTCTTTCCAATTACTACGCCCAATTCAACTTCATGAGCCACTTTTGTAAACACCTTTGGAATCTTAAAAAAAAATAAAGACAAATCATTATATATAGTATAAAATATATACATATATGAGCATTGCAAATACCACAATAGGGTTGCCTTCGATCTCGTAGGATGTTGTCGGCTTAAGGAATAGAAGCGGTTCTTCCGGTACAGGTACATTGCGAGAGCGTACAATATCCCTAATTAAAATCAACTACACGTAATGCATATAACGACTCTTCTATTTTACATACATGTAATTTAGCGCCGCTCCAAGTATTTTTTTACCTCGCTCAACGAAATCATATTTTCCAGATGTGCTTGAAGATGACGCCATTCTCAGATATGTTTTCCTCGAGGCAGTCAAAAAGTTGCTAAACACATTCATTTTTATTCCTCAGACTATAATGCACTGCTGCTGTGCTGAGTTATTCAACTTTGAAAATAAATTAGCTAGTGATGTATTTTTGAGTAAATATTGTGATTACATATGTATATGGCGAACGCCAATCAAGTACATACATACTCTCGCTGTAGCATATGTTTGCTTTTCTGGCGAAGTGAAAAAACACATGGGAACTGATAAGAATATTTTCTTTTGGCCTGAGTTTGGGGAGAGAAAATGGATAGCTATTTTTAGGAAATCAGCTGTTTACTTTTCTTACAGGGTGAAGCAAGTCGGTAAAAAGAAACTCAACATATTAAGAGCGAAATACACCACACAAGCGGCTTGACAAACTAAGGGTACATCGCTTTGCTTCAAGCTATTTGTGCATGATTGAATAATACAAGGTTCGATAAACTGACCGTTTCTCTCGCACCGCTCCCTTAGGCAAAGAACATAGTGACGCGACAAAGAGAGCGACCAGACAAAGTCGGATAATAGCGAAGGAAGAGACAAGAAAACGTCAAAACATAGTGAAGCAACACTCAGCTCAGAAAGCAAGGAAAACAAATGTTTTTGTTTTCGTTGCTATGCTTTTTGTCGCTTTCTTCGCCTCACTATGTGGCGCCACATTGAAAAATAAAGTTTTTTTTGTGCTTCGGCCGATTAAAACCTGAATTAAATTCATTTAAAGAACAAATGCTTTTATAAACTTTTATAATAACAAAAGAAAAACATAGTCAAATAACTAAATAACATAACCTCCTTCAAGAATGGGCCAAAAACGGCCGATTAATCGGTCGGACTATTTATTTTTAAAGAAACTAGAGTTTACACTACAACGAAAACCACGTAGGACAGAAAGTTGCAAATCCTGTACAAGATTTATTAACAATCGCCCACTCTAAAAAATGCTGAATTTCTTCCGTATTTGTAAAAAAATTTTCGAACATAGAGTGTATGGTGTAACACCATCAGCAATTTAGACATATTTCACTTCGATCGTCTTCGAAACACTTCGATTTTTCAAGCGCTTCGTTTCCGTAAAAACCACGGCAACACTTACTACGTTTATACGCACGTATTATTTGCAAATAACAATTTGCGAAATGGTAAACTTTGCTGTATAAACGCTAAGTTAATTTTTTATTTGCAAATAACGAAATCACGCAAATAAGTATTGATTAGTGGTACTATTTGCAAATAAGCGCTAGATGCCGCCATTCTTAGGTTTATTTTCTTTTTCGGTGGTCATCTTATTGCCTTTTCATAATCAAGACGTTGCCATTTTTAACTTTATTTTCTTTTTCGATGGTCATATTATTGCCTTTTTATAATCAGGCAATATTAAAAAGAAATTTTCACCATCGAATAAACAGTGAGCTAGGTATTTGCAAATAGCTTACGTATAAACTGTTCCTTGGGTTCGTCAAGCCGCTTGTGTGGTGCATTTCGCTCTTTATTGATTGACACAGGTCCTTTGTTTCAAACAACTCTGTGATCGGCCGTAAAATGAAGAACAAGAGGGAACCAGCAAATGTCAACGATAGTTAAAATAATCTGGCAATTGGTACGAAAAACAACTGGAAATACGCAATTGTAAAATTGGGGCCCGCTGTAGAAAAATTAATAATTTTATTTTCGGTAAACAAAATGTGCGTGGCATAAAAGTGAAATATGCACAAAAAGCGTCGACGGAAAGTGGGTTGAAAATTTATTGGTTCAAGAGCATCAGACGGATTAGTTATCTATGTACATATCTACATGTATGTATATGTACATCTTTTTTTGTTCGTACAAACGTACATAGATGCGATTTGGCATTGGAAGAAATTTAATATTATGCTATGATGCAGAGTAAAATAGAGACAATTTAAATGTTGGCCTGTGGAAAATCTAAATTAACGAAGGGTTTTTAAAAAAAATTTTCTTATTTTACTGCTATGAATCTGTTTCGGAGTTGGGCCGTATTGAAATCTTACTGGATTTTTAGCTTTCACTTATTGGAATAATAGCAGAACAACTGTCATGTGCAAAAACAACACAATACCAAAACAAGACCAACTGTCAATGTGAAACAATCGACTAACTGGACGGACGCATATCAGCAGTAGCAATAACAACAATGGAACAACGCATCAGAATGCATAGATCGTGTGTCGTTTAAGAGGTTCCGCAGCACTATTCATCTAAAGTGACTAGGCAAAGTTGTTGTAGTTGGAGAAGGGTGGGCAACAGTAAAGGCAGAATCACATTGCGCGAAGATACAACATTTTAACCAAGTAGTTAAAGTAGACTTCAATTTTGTCAAAGATAAACATACATATGTATTACTATTTGCATGTATGTACTTATATTTTATATAGACTGGCTTACTCAAAACAGTATCGCAAAGCAAATTGACGAAGGCTATAAAAAGAATATTATATTTTAACGATTCTGTTTTGGTCGTGTTTCGGAAGCCCCATTACAAAATAACAAAAATTGAGAAGACGAAGTGTACTTACCTACTAATTTAGAACAATATTCAGCAAATGTTTTACGAGTAGCATAAAATAGTTTTGGACTGTGGATAGCAACATTTAATTGAATCATACATATTTTTTCATTGTCCATTGGCTTGTTTACATTTAGTAGTCTAGATAAAGACGAAAGAGCAAGAACAACTAAGATTTCAAACTACGAGTTCCAGCGAATTTTTCACAAAATAAAATAACTAATCTATGAATTTCGTGTATAATAAACCACAAGTATGACTTCAGCTCTCCAAGAAGGAAGCGAACTTGGCTGCATGGTGGAAATAATCACATAAGATTAAATGTAACGGGATTGCTCTAAGATTTGTGAAAATCAACAAAATATTTAGTACAAGTGGCTCAATTTTATAATACTCACGACGCTAAAGTTGCCATAGAGAAAAGTTATAACATAGAGGTTTAACAAAAGATCCATATAAAATAATAACGTCATACGGAGTAAATGTCATTTTTAAATGTTGGAGATTTTCTAAGATTTCCTATCCGTAATAAGCCATAGTATATTTAGAACTTTATACATATTATACGTAAAATGGACACATCTTTGACTCACCAACGAAATCGACTGCAATCAGCTTCGACCACAACAACTACTTCTGCAGCCAATGTAGCGCCGTTGAGTAGCAGTATCAGTGGCACCAGCGCAATTCTAACGAATCACAACAGCAATAGTGTTGGAAACATAGGTGCTAATAGAGCTATTGGAAGTGCCAGTGTAGCCATAATGACAGGCACTGGTGCTGTTATACCGATAAACCCGTTGTCACAGTTATCATCACAATCATCACCCTCAGAACGCATTAGTTCAACGTCATCATTAGCGAATCTCTTGGATGGTTTTACATCGCGTGTATCTGGGGATCGAGCTCAGAGCGCTGCAAGCACACCCAGTAGTATCAGTTCACTGGGTACAACCGCAAATGCCTTCTATTCTTCTCTCGGCTTAGCTTTCAACTCCTTGACGTCTCCTATCTCAACAGTAGCTGCTGCGGCTCATGCGACAACGGCAGAAGCCGCCGCTGTCGTTGTTGCAGCTGCTTCAGCGCTCTCAAATCATCTTAGCTCACCGACAAGCGGCACACCTCCACATATGGATGAATTAGATGATGACGACGATTGCGAGGATGATGACGATGACAACGACGGTCATGTGCCGGCGCCAACACCGAAGAAAACTTGGTCGGAGATAAAAGCGATTGTTAACGATATGCGCAAGCACCTGATAAATTTATCCAGCATGATGCCATCGAATATACAGTTCCGGACGTTATCTGATGGCCGGGTCCGCTGCTACTTTCTTAGTACCCCGCCAAATGCGTGGGAGCCAACATTGTTGTATGCAGATATCAACATGAATGGAAATGAAGACATGGTAGCGGAAAACGATTCGCCGACCACTGAGATGAATGGCGCAGCCAGCGACAGTGGTATGGGGATGGCTGCAGGTAGCGACGCAGGAGCAGATGTTACGGGCAGCCGTTTGCCGTCGCCAACTTCTTCCCAAGCGTCTTCACCAACATCGGCTGCCTCATTTCCCACACATAGTCAAAACAAAAGGTTTGTCAAATTTGCTGATTATATTTTATATGCATTTGGGTAAATGCGTACTGTTTTTCGATTTTCTCTAGACTTCAATGGAAGACAGTATTACAGCAGCCAATGTCGAGTGTGGCTGCTGGAACGGCTAGTGGCGGAGTAAATCCATGGTCAAGAGAATTCCAGCTTTTGCAGGAGCGTAAACGACTGTCAACGTGGGGAATTACTTCTTTTGAATTGCATAAGCCTAGCGGAAAGATAGTGTTTCCCTGCTTCAGTGATCTGTACCAATGCCTTGACACAGGATACACTGTAAGTGAAATATCTACAT